CCTAGGACTGGTGCCCGCTGCTGAATGAGTCTTCTTGTGTGCACCTCTAAGTAGAGAGCGCGTTGGACGTGAGATGAAAAACAGCCAGTTGGCTATAATCATCTCAGATCCAACGAGTGCGAGTGGGGTAATTGTTTCATAAAAAACGCCCCAAAAATACGCGTTAACTTACCACATTTGTATAATTGCTCATTTACCATGATGGCTAAGCCAATGAAACCTCTCGAATTGCATTATCCAATGATCCAGTGTTTAATAATTGTTTTTATCGAAAACTGGACGAGGACAGCTCTGAAGAATTATCATTGAGGTAACGATAATATGAGATTACCCTTTGGAATCAGAGTTTCGAAGCTACCATCCACCCTGCCAATTGAATTCAATGAAGACATAACAGAAGTCAGGCTACACGTAGGCACTTTAATGGATTTGACGCCATTCTTACACTAGTATGGCTTCTGACAACACGTTCCAGTGCAACATGTCGACTACAACACCACTCAAGAGACAAAATTGACTTTCACAATATGCAGTGTTGGAACAGTTCGTGTTACACTGCGCACAATGCAGACAGCTTACAAGCCCTTTTATTGTTATAGCGAGTTTATAATAGTTATTTAGTGTGGCGTGGGAGGGGCATGGAACGAGCGAGACTCCGTTCACTTACCGAAAACCAAGTGTCCTAGGTATTCCATGACACACAAATCAGTTCTTTGACAAATACACCAATGGTTTTCTAATATCAGTATTGCAATATTATCACGTCACTATGTATCTTGCTACTTCATCTCAATCTCAGTGAAAAAGTGTGAACAAAATCAGTGAATCCTTTGCTACATAAAGTCGTTAACATCACGGATTAAAACTTTGTAAGAATATCGTCTTACAGGTGCAAAATTTTGCTTTTCACTACCTCGACAAAACACAAAGTCCTGCAACTAATGGAAAGCTGCCCATGAAGGCATCACACGGGAACTTTAAACATTTTCTTGACAATGAGAACGTTATAGGACCTTAATCAATTGAGGCATCGAGGCATGGAAAGGACAGACGAAGTAGCAATGTCAAATTAAGTTGAGACTATCTTCTACCGATCCTAAATTTTGTTATGTTTCAGTAAGAGCTAACAGTCCTGTAAACTTCTAATAATAGTCAACAAATCTAATCATCTTTGGACCTCTACACAAGAGCTAGACCCTTGCTACTGGCCTACAACGAAATGAAAAAGGGAACTTATCCTTCTCTTACGTCCTTGAAATACAACCTTTTGAGGTAAATCTAGAAAGGCCGAGTTTGGTAAACATGTAGCTTCTTAATGAAGACTTTGAAGAGCACAAAATAATTATCGACTCTTTAACTACCTTTGATCTGGTTACTGTCAATTTCCAGGGAGACCCAAGCAGAGGGCGGAGATTAAACAGACTTGTACTGATATGCAACATTGAAGACTAGAGTTAGACGAATTGTTCACGACCCCATTCCCCCACAACCCAAAAGCTATGCCTGAGGGGGAGGGCATGAAATATGGTTTACAGTACAGGGGTCTGGCTTGCTCGACTTCATTATTTCATTGGGCGCCAAGCAATCGAAAAATAGTTCGAAATAAAAACAGATCGACGTACAACGACCACTAGAGGTCTGGGTTGCTTTCAATAAAGCATGAAAGGCAGCGCGGGAAAAAAAATCGTTAGCCACTTTAACAAAGTTGACTCTCGCGTGAGTGCCATTTTTAAAGGTTACTCTCTAACACCTTTTAAACAGAAGTGGAAACCAACAGGTAACCTGTGGTAGTTGCTCTATCTAGACTGCTTCCAGCTTGGTTGGTTGTGCTGGGTCACACGTCGTTTATCAGCCCTAGAGTATAGGTTGGTATGGTTAGGTACACAACCCACTATATCTTTAGCACGTCCAGAACATCTGGATTTCCACGTCGCCTCACGTAACTGGTTTGGACTGGTTGGAGAATCGGGCGCAGAAGACGCGAAGTGATTCCACATTAACCCCACAGCTCCGCGCAAGTTCCAGCCCCTCTGGAGTGGCCTGGGTACCACTGGAAGTCACGCCCTTTCTCTGGCCTCGTTTTGGACTCTCGCACGAAGCACTTCCAGTTAGCAAAGTGACCAGGCCTTTGCCAGTTTGACTCACGAAATACCGACAGCAGTTGACAATCTGATTAAATCGCCTGCACAAAATTAAAATTTCAAAGTCAGGGTCTGCTAATGTTGTAGTCACGTTGGACGTGCATGTAATTATTCTAAGGAGTGCTGATTGTATATAGTTTTGTCTGATTGAAAGATAAACTCCAAACTTCGTAAACATTTCTTGGATGCTTATTATTTAGCTAAAAAAAACGAAATTTCGGTTGAAAGTCAAATGGTTAGGAAAATTGAGTTAAACGGTTAGGGAAATTGTTGACTGCATCAAGAGGTCTTCCTCTTTGTCTATTCGGAATGAACGCCGAAATTTTCCTTACTATTTACTCGTTTCTCCAGTATTTTAAAAAATCTCTCATCAAGAATAAACAGTAGGTGGAAACTGAATTAAAAATAACAAGCGCCTTCTCTTTCGGTTGCTTTGCTGTTTTCAGAGAAACCCGTTCCCACCGGGAAATAGCAAACAGCCCTTTTGTCTTTCCCACGTTGCGTTTTTAACAGTTGCCTTTATGGTCTTGTAAAAGCAAAAGATTTATTCTGCTTACCATACAGCTACGTCCTCATATCGTCCGTGCCGCCTCCCTCCATCGAGCGTCTCGTGGTCTTTTTGAGCTCTGATCCATCTTGAAAACAAGGGAAGACCACATGAGATTGTCAAAAACTAAACACCGAACCCTACCGACCCCCCGATTACCCCCCCCCCNCCCCCACCCTAAAATGTACGTTAAACTTTATCTTCTGATTGGCTTAGCTTACTGAAACTGTTCGCTGATTGGTTTAATTACACACCAATTATGCAGACTAAAGTGTATTGAGGGAGGATGTAGCCTTGGAAAAAGAGTCTGGAAAAGAATTAAGTATAAACCAGTTTGACATACTTATGACTGAAGAAATAACTTGCTTTACCTGTTTCCCTTCTTAAACTCTTGCTCCAAAAACTTTGTAGCCTCCCTCGCTCCACTGTCGTACTTCTTCAATTCGTCAAGCGCTGAAATCACTACAACAAAAGAAACATAGATACACCAGAATTAATTATAAACGGCGACAAGGAAGGAGCAACCGAGGAACCAAGAATGCATGAGAGCAGTTTTAGAATAACTCTCCTGAACACCTAATCCAAAGTAATTTCCACGCACGGCAATACCATTTTCAACTAAGCCAAACGCGGGAAACATTTAACTGGCGCCGAGCGCGGGAAAATATGTAAACGGTGACAAACGCGGGGAAAACTGTAACCTGTGTCTAGAGCGAGAAACTAATAACTGGGGCAGAGCGCGGGAAAACCTGTAAGCTGGGCGAAACGCGGGAAACATTTTTCTAGCGCAGAGCGCGTGAAAACATGTAACCGAGGGAAAATTGAAATCTGTACCAAGCGCGGGAAATATGTAAATGGCGCAACCGCAGAAAAACGTGCCAAGTACAGGAAAAAAGTTACTTAGTCAAAAGAACACTACTGGTCTTGGTTTGAAAATTAATAGCTGAGGATGACACATTCTATTCCTGAACACGTTCGTGAACATTAAACTACTTCAATGAAAAAGATCAATCAATCAATCAATCAATCAATCAATCAATCAATCAATCAATCAATCAATCAATCAATCAATCAATCAATCAATCAATCAATCAATCAATCAATCAATCAATCAACGAAAACAGGTTGTAATATGATAGGAGTGACCGAAAGGTGAACTAAGCTACAATAATCACTTCTAATTGTACCTTGGATAGGGATTATGATCACAAACTTCTCTGAGGCCATCAGTCGTCGTACAAGATGTAGCTGCGTACACAGTGCCACAGCATCAGGGACCAGGTAAACCGTGCCACCACCAGGAGCTGTCTTAAGGCTGCTCTCCAGTTCTGCCACTTCAGACTGTAACAAAGTTCAGACGTTTATGTTTTTCATTCCAAACGTTCCACTGGATAACTAATAGTTTAGCCAACAATCAACATAGAGAGGACAAGTGCCTAGTTTTGCTAAGGTCTTGTCAGTAACTGGTTACGATTGTACTGTACAATTACCCAAATTACCTGCAGTAGTTGCTGGGCCATGACCTTCATTACTCTTGATCGACGATCTTGATTTCCCTGATAAACAAAACAAGAACTTGTAATATTTCTGTCATGTTAATACATAAGTGACTGACGGAGACTGACTGACTGATTTAATAACGGAGTTATAGACTAATTAACTGATAACTAACTGATTGACTCAGTTACCGACTGACCGACCAACCAATCGACTGACCCACTAAAATAAATTACAATAAATCCTACAACTATTCAACCATGTCTTACCACAGGCGAAGGAGTGTGTCGTTTGTCGACGGTCATCTTCTTTTCTCGTTCCGCCTTCTGTTGGGGTCCCAGAAACTGCTTAGTGTTCTGATCCCACTCAAACGAACTCAGCTCCTATCGATAATAAAAGGCATATCAGCGGAGTTGGTGAAGAAACTGCCGCTTTCTTGAAAACATTATGGTAAAGAATGAAAGACGAGGAGAGAAGGGACAAAACACGAAAAAGTGATAACAAAAGAAAATAGGATAAGATGCGGGAGCTTCTTTTAGTTCTCTCTACGCCATCTTGGGAGGGGATCTTTTAGTAAAGATGTTTAAAGCAACAAATGAAAGGGCGCAAAGTGAGAGTGAATGTAAATCGATGTTTGCAGCCTACCTGAGTAGAAGCAAGCTTCATTCCAAAGCTTCGCAAACATTGAACTCGAACTGCGGCCTGACGGAGCAAAACAATGAGCTATGAAATTCTAAAATCTGATAAAATCACCTTTGAACGGTGGTAAATTTTAGCACCGGGGCAACAGATTTAAGAAGATAAGTTACACAGTAAGGGAGCTACTTTACCGGGTATAGATAGCAGTAAGCCCTGTTTCCCTTGTAGGGAAAAGATCATGATGATGACAATAAATAGCACTGGAAGAAAGTCAGTGATAAACACGAAACAAGTCGTTGAATCTAATAACTTCCTAATGAATAAAATTTCCAAACAATGGAAGCTCTGGTTTGTATCGCTTTGTTCACTGTGTGAATAACCACACCCATTTAAAAAAATATTAACGGATAACATTTCTCTGTAAAAGTTCCCTTGTCTGGCCGAATCCCCCACCAGGGTGCAATGAATTGAAGAATAAAAGATCCCTAGTACAATGCATAAGTTTTAACAGCTGGTGCACCCCACCCCTGGTGTATAGACTTGAACAACAGGGGGATTAAAACCCGTTTTCTTATAATTTACAACTTGTTTTACATCATGTTTTGCAGCCTGAGTAATCGTGGTTTACAACAGCGATGTAACTACCTCAAGGTATTGGCAGTCCCTTGTAAGCCTGCTCCAATTCCTGTCGAGCCTGCTGTGTATCACAGTCAGTGGTTTAAATCCTAACAGAGAAACGTCTTCCGGTAGAGCACGTGTTTGAACCCAGTTTTCGTCGAGCGTTTCACCCAGAATGCTCCGCCATGTTGGCAACCTTGGCAACGGAACTAAGACAAAAACAGAAACGATTATTAAAAAACAGAATGACATTCGCACGAGGTATTTTGTGTGCAGAGTTCTCCAATGTAAAGAATGTTCTAAGTGCTCACTCGTAAGCATATCGACCACATTTTTCGTGTTCTTACTTCTTACACTATTCTAGACCAACGAAATGGCGTAGTAAAATGTTGGACCTTCAAGTGGAACCATGAGCGCGCTAACCTAGCGCCTTCACTACAAAGTTTTCGACATTTTGTGGCATCATCTCTATGGTCTATAAGAGCAAGGACCTTGGAAAAATGAGTTCCATTTGATTTTTACAATAACATCGACGCCTTACTGACGAATTAAGGAAAATCAGTACGAAATTGTGTGCGAATATCAAAGTGCGAAGAATCACTTTTGTTGCTTGGAAACAACGGCTTTGTCGGACTTGTCGGAAATTTCGCCCAAATGCACCAGTCCGCATTTCACAACTGTTTATTGGAAAGGTCATGAAAGTTTTCAGTTTTCTGAAAGTGTTCTTGGGCTACAAATTACGTCATTTTCATTTTCATTATCATTTTTCATTATCCAAATTCTCATAGACCATAGCTCCAGACCACTAAGGGCGCGATAATTCTTCAGAGTTACTGACAGATGCGAAACTTCAAGGTTCTGCCTGAAGATGCTTTTTAGCGAAGTAGGTGGACCACTCCAGTTGACTTGGAACTCCGTTTCCCCAGAAACAGTGGCGATTAAATGGACTGCTCAACTTAACTGATGCTAATCAAGCAGTCTATACTTTGATTCACTTTCTACCTGCAGCCATGATCTGCTCCGAGGAAGGAAACTTGTTCAGCAGAGTAGCCATTCTGGACCACAGCGCACCCAAGCTCTAAAAGGAAAATACAAACAAAGCGCTTGGACATTCAATGTGGCCAGAGATGCAAGTTAAGTTTATTTCCACTGTCGCGCTATTTTACGCCCTTCGACGGGCGTGAACTTTAATTGCTTTACATGCGTAAAGCAAAATAAAGCAAATGTCTGGGCGGCTGAAGTCTGCGAAAAAAGTTAAACCACATTCAACTTTTTTCGCAGACGCAAGCCGTCCAGGCACCTGATCTATAGTATATTTCATCCACTAAAAGCCTTAAAAAATTCACGCGCTCACTCCCAGTTCTCCCGTGGGTGTTTACGTACATTCTTCCCGGATCTTTTATCCCAGTGGCGGGTGAGTAATTCCCCGCCCCCGCCCCCGCAAAAAATAAGAACTGTTTCGATCTAAGATTGTATTGGCATGGGCTTAAAATGTTTTGTCTTCATTGATACATACCTCAACACAAGTCATCACCAGTTCTCCATTCAGTCGTAGCCAGTCGGTTAACACTTTGATGGCTGGCAGCAGTTTCTGACCTGCTATGGCCTTCAGTAAGTTGGACTCCACACAGTCTCGAAGAATCTCAGTTCTGGAGGCGATGGACGACTCTACAAGGCAATGTTGAGAGCAATGCACATCAAATTAAGCAATATACAAAACTAGCTAAGAGGGAAAATCAGAACTTATGTGAGCTCGGGAGGCGGCTAAAATCAAACCTAATACTAAAGAATGCACTATACTTTCTAAAAATGCGAGGTTTTGGTTCAAGTATTCTAGCGATACGATTTCGAACTTGTCATAGTGATCAACTTCAACTTGTATTGGAATTTTTCAATTGTAAATTAGACAAGACTCGCTTACCCGTTTCCGCGTCGCTCACATCACTAATCAGGTCTGGTCTGAACATTTTTCCAACTGACACTCCATTGTGTCCCAAGAAACCAGCCTTGAATGCCAACTTGTCCTGTACAGTTTGATGACTGGGCAACTTCTCCATTGACCTTGGCAACGTTTCGTTCTCATGTCGCTTCCCGTTCGCAGCAGAGAATACACTGCTGGGCAGTGATCCGTTGTTTCCGCTTTCATTGTCCGACTCACTCTCTATGTAAACATCTTCACTATCGTCCTCATCGCTTATCGAGTCACCCAACACTTCATCCATCTCTCTCCCGCCTTCGCTCAAATCACTGTCTTCATCTTCCTCCTCGTCTCCCGATTCCTCCAAGTCGCTTCCACTGCCACTATAGCTCTCAAAGCTGTAATCGATTTTCCTTCGTCTTCGCCTTCTCCGCCGATGCTTCATGACCTTCTTGAGTTGTTTTGCTTGGTTTAAATTGCTTTCCACTTTCCTCCCTTGAAATGAGTTTTCATGTTTTGAAAAACCGTTATGCGAGAGCGCAGCATTCGTTGGACCATTTACCACAGGGTGTTCCGTGTTGGAGTGTTCTTTTGCTAAGAAGTTTTCAAACGATGAAATACAGTTTTGCAGAAGAAGAGAGAGAAACGCTAGGGTGAAGGCTGTTGCTACCGACGAATCCTGAGAACCTAGGAAAAATTGAAGGGGACATTTGTTCACTACTCATTCAACATCTTACAACACAGACTGACCGAAAGTATAAAACGTTTTCAACGTTGTTACAATAATATGTTGCATTGAAATGCGTGTGTTTTGCCGCGGTTTTACAGTACATCTGGAGAACTCAAAATACATACAAGACAGGTCGCCACTACCAACTCATTTCGCAAACAACTGCCACATAAACTAAAACAAAAACATGTTTTACAGATCTTATCACTTTAATTTCGGAGAAAGCATAACATTTGTGACCATTGAATTAAATCGGATTTACCAAACAGCCGATCCGGTTTTTTGCGGTTGGACGTTCACCACATTTACAGTTATACGAAACCTTAGGCACGATTTTAACTGTAAATAAAAAAAAAAATTGGAACTAGGATTTCAAATTTGAAAATGCGAAGCTTGTGGCTTTAAATTTATTTTTCTAACTCTCTGGTCTTGAACCGTTATACGCTCTTGTTGAAGAGTCAAAAAGGTGAAATAAAGAGTGTTGCAGTTTCATTTCCAAACACCATTCCACATTCCCAAACAGCATGAAGAAAGTTCAAAAAGCGACTCGCATCGGAGTATTCTAGAAGAATTTCGAGGTGTTTGAAAATGTGGTAAAGCACGGTCTTGCGTGTTTGATATAACTAAAAACCAACGGGAGAAAACGGAGGTAAAATTATAAAGAAATATATAATGCTGATTAAAGTCAGATATTCCAACACCGTCACATTCATGATTTCCTAAGTTTAGATTTGATTAATTATTACCGAGTTGGAGATAAACACTTCACACGACATACTTCTAACAAAACACAGACAAACTACTACCCTACCCTTTGACTGCAATCTGGTCACAGTGGCAATTGCCATGACAACAAGTTTCACCATAAGCGAGCTGCTAATGACGGCATCCTCGTCATCTGTGACGTCATGCTCCAGGCCGCCATTTTCCTGAGAGGCGACGCCATTTTCAAGTGATGGCTTGCTTGTGTTGGAGGAGGCTGGGTCTACAGACAAAACACTGCTGAAGTCCTGTAACACAGACTGACACAGATGCCCCGTGTCTTCACTGCTTATTTCAGGTGAGCTAAGGAATAAATTCACACAAAAATCTTCAGTTGGAAACAAAGACAGTATGCTCAATGTTAGCGACCCTTTCAGTCCCTTGATCAAAATCTAACTCTAAACCTCTTTACTAATTGCTAAAGGTTTCTTAAAAAGTTAGTTTTGAAAATTTGTAGCTGTAAATGAAGTCGCATCTCTTCACCAGAAACGTCACTAGAGAATCTGGCAGTATATGTACAACAGAGTAATAACCTCCTCTTGAAAATTAATACTTCTCTATTTTGCTAATACGTACTTCACCAAGAACACGCAATTAAGAGAAAATCTCTGGAAACATTTGAATATCATACCCAATTAAACTAATTTGACAACCATGCACCTAAACAAAACAAGTATGGTATCTATGTAGTCTATGCATTTAATCTACAAATAGACTAGGAGTGAAAGCTCCATTAACACACAGCCCCTGTAAGCAGGATGAACCGGGCACTTAGTCACAGTTTGTAGCCAGATAAAAACGCTACATTTTTCAGCTTTCCACAAGCAGACACCCTCTTCAGCAGAGAGAGTGCACTTTTCCATGGGAGATTAGGGTTTGCTATTCCCTGAGAGAAAGACACCTGAGAATGCTATCAATAACGCAGCAATGAAGAGGTTTGTGTAGGATTACTCTCTGTTAGGGTGTGTTCATTTAACCTTTTTCTGGAATATGAATAAACAGTCAGGTATCCGTTCATTCTGGAATACACTAAGTGTATTTCAAGCATTCTTCTCCAGGGAACAGAATACTTGGAATAATTCGTCACTTCACTTTGTATCATGAACAAAACAGACTGTTACATAAATTACTCTACTTCCAGATTTGGAAAGAGTACGAACAAGGTATTCTTTCTCCCCTGTTTCAACCAATCGTAAAAACAAGCAAGAATCAACAAGTTAGATTACTCCACAAGCGAAGTAATTGTTTTAATGAAGTAGGTAACGATTAGCTATTCTGGAATATTCTGGAACATAACTTTCATTTCCGGAATAAGGTCAATCAAACACATCCTTAAATCAACACATACAAAGTTTTATTCAGCTTAATTTTGCCTATCATGGGATGGAACAAGCCTGCCATGGTGACACAAGCTGTCTGTTTTCCTTGGTTGGCCAGCATTCAGATCATCACAAAGATAGTACTTTAAAACACAGGAGAAAAAGAAAACAACAACCAAGGAATCTAATTATCACTCACTTCTCATGTTGATACAGAACATCTTGGAGGTACAGGAAATAAACAAGAAATCTCTTCAATCTGGTTAGAATGACAAGAAAGAGACCTTGTTAAACCACATAACAAACAAGTTACTGATAGAGCTTAATGTTGCAACTGCTTGGGTNTGCTCTCCAGTTCTGCCACTTCAGACTGTAACAAAGTTCAGACGTTTATGTTTTTCATTCCAAACGTTCCACTGGATAACTAATAGTTTAGCCAACAATCAACATAGAGAGGACAAGTGCCTAGTTTTGCTAAGGTCTTGTCAGTAACTGGTTACGATTGTACTGTACAATTACCCAAATTACCTGCAGTAGTTGCTGGGCCATGACCTTCATTACTCTTGATCGACGATCTTGATTTCCCTGATAAACAAAACAAGAACTTGTAATATTTCTGTCATGTTAATACATAAGTGACTGACGGAGACTGACTGACTGATTTAATAACGGAGTTATAGACTAATTAACTGATAACTAACTGATTGACTCAGTTACCGACTGACCGACCAACCAATCGACTGACCCACTAAAATAAATTACAATAAATCCTACAACTATTCAACCATGTCTTACCACAGGCGAAGGAGTGTGTCGTTTGTCGACGGTCATCTTCTTTTCTCGTTCCGCCTTCTGTTGGGGTCCCAGAAACTGCTTAGTGTTCTGATCCCACTCAAACGAACTCAGCTCCTATCGATAATAAAAGGCATATCAGCGGAGTTGGTGAAGAAACTGCCGCTTTCTTGAAAACATTATGGTAAAGAATGAAAGACGAGGAGAGAAGGGACAAAACACGAAAAAGTGATAACAAAAGAAAATAGGATAAGATGCGGGAGCTTCTTTTAGTTCTCTCTACGCCATCTTGGGAGGGGATCTTTTAGTAAAGATGTTTAAAGCAACAAATGAAAGGGCGCAAAGTGAGAGTGAATGTAAATCGATGTTTGCAGCCTACCTGAGTAGAAGCAAGCTTCATTCCAAAGCTTCGCAAACATTGAACTCGAACTGCGGCCTGACGGAGCAAAACAATGAGCTATGAAATTCTAAAATCTGATAAAATCACCTTTGAACGGTGGTAAATTTTAGCACCGGGGCAACAGATTTAAGAAGATAAGTTACACAGTAAGGGAGCTACTTTACCGGGTATAGATAGCAGTAAGCCCTGTTTCCCTTGTAGGGAAAAGATCATGATGATGACAATAAATAGCACTGGAAGAAAGTCAGTGATAAACACGAAACAAGTCGTTGAATCTAATAACTTCCTAATGAATAAAATTTCCAAACAATGGAAGCTCTGGTTTGTATCGCTTTGTTCACTGTGTGAATAACCACACCCATTTAAAAAAATATTAACGGATAACATTTCTCTGTAAAAGTTCCCTTGTCTGGCCGAATCCCCCACCAGGGTGCAATGAATTGAAGAATAAAAGATCCCTAGTACAATGCATAAGTTTTAACAGCTGGTGCACCCCACCCCTGGTGTATAGACTTGAACAACAGGGGGATTAAAACCCGTTTTCTTATAATTTACAACTTGTTTTACATCATGTTTTGCAGCCTGAGTAATCGTGGTTTACAACAGCGATGTAACTACCTCAAGGTATTGGCAGTCCCTTGTAAGCCTGCTCCAATTCCTGTCGAGCCTGCTGTGTATCACAGTCAGTGGTTTAAATCCTAACAGAGAAACGTCTTCCGGTAGAGCACGTGTTTGAACCCAGTTTTCGTCGAGCGTTTCACCCAGAATGCTCCGCCATGTTGGCAACCTTGGCAACGGAACTAAGACAAAAACAGAAACGATTATTAAAAAACAGAATGACATTCGCACGAGGTATTTTGTGTGCAGAGTTCTCCAATGTAAAGAATGTTCTAAGTGCTCACTCGTAAGCATATCGACCACATTTTTCGTGTTCTTACTTCTTACACTATTCTAGACCAACGAAATGGCGTAGTAAAATGTTGGACCTTCAAGTGGAACCATGAGCGCGCTAACCTAGCGCCTTCACTACAAAGTTTTCGACATTTTGTGGCATCATCTCTATGGTCTATAAGAGCAAGGACCTTGGAAAAATGAGTTCCATTTGATTTTTACAATAACATCGACGCCTTACTGACGAATTAAGGAAAATCAGTACGAAATTGTGTGCGAATATCAAAGTGCGAAGAATCACTTTTGTTGCTTGGAAACAACGGCTTTGTCGGACTTGTCGGAAATTTCGCCCAAATGCACCAGTCCGCATTTCACAACTGTTTATTGGAAAGGTCATGAAAGTTTTCAGTTTTCTGAAAGTGTTCTTGGGCTACAAATTACGTCATTTTCATTTTCATTATCATTTTTCATTATCCAAATTCTCATAGACCATAGCTCCAGACCACTAAGGGCGCGATAATTCTTCAGAGTTACTGACAGATGCGAAACTTCAAGGTTCTGCCTGAAGATGCTTTTTAGCGAAGTAGGTGGACCACTCCAGTTGACTTGGAACTCCGTTTCCCCAGAAACAGTGGCGATTAAATGGACTGCTCAACTTAACTGATGCTAATCAAGCAGTCTATACTTTGATTCACTTTCTACCTGCAGCCATGATCTGCTCCGAGGAAGGAAACTTGTTCAGCAGAGTAGCCATTCTGGACCACAGCGCACCCAAGCTCTAAAAGGAAAATACAAACAAAGCGCTTGGACATTCAATGTGGCCAGAGATGCAAGTTAAGTTTATTTCCACTGTCGCGCTATTTTACGCCCTTCGACGGGCGTGAACTTTAATTGCTTTACATGCGTAAAGCAAAATAAAGCAAATGTCTGGGCGGCTGAAGTCTGCGAAAAAAGTTAAACCACATTCAACTTTTTTCGCAGACGCAAGCCGTCCAGGCACCTGATCTATAGTATATTTCATCCACTAAAAGCCTTAAAAAATTCACGCGCTCACTCCCAGTTCTCCCGTGGGTGTTTACGTACATTCTTCCCGGATCTTTTATCCCAGTGGCGGGTGAGTAATTCCCCGCCCCCGCCCCCGCAAAAAATAAGAACTGTTTCGATCTAAGATTGTATTGGCATGGGCTTAAAATGTTTTGTCTTCATTGATACATACCTCAACACAAGTCATCACCAGTTCTCCATTCAGTCGTAGCCAGTCGGTTAACACTTTGATGGCTGGCAGCAGTTTCTGACCTGCTATGGCCTTCAGTAAGTTGGACTCCACACAGTCTCGAAGAATCTCAGTTCTGGAGGCGATGGACGACTCTACAAGGCAATGTTGAGAGCAATGCACATCAAATTAAGCAATATACAAAACTAGCTAAGAGGGAAAATCAGAACTTATGTGAGCTCGGGAGGCGGCTAAAATCAAACCTAATACTAAAGAATGCACTATACTTTCTAAAAATGCGAGGTTTTGGTTCAAGTATTCTAGCGATACGATTTCGAACTTGTCATAGTGATCAACTTCAACTTGTATTGGAATTTTTCAATTGTAAATTAGACAAGACTCGCTTACCCGTTTCCGCGTCGCTCACATCACTAATCAGGTCTGGTCTGAACATTTTTCCAACTGACACTCCATTGTGTCCCAAGAAACCAGCCTTGAATGCCAACTTGTCCTGTACAGTTTGATGACTGGGCAACTTCTCCATTGACCTTGGCAACGTTTCGTTCTCATGTCGCTTCCCGTTCGCAGCAGAGAATACACTGCTGGGCAGTGATCCGTTGTTTCCGCTTTCATTGTCCGACTCACTCTCTATGTAAACATCTTCACTATCGTCCTCATCGCTTATCGAGTCACCCAACACTTCATCCATCTCTCCCCCGCCTTCGCTCAAATCACTGTCTTCATCTTCCTCCTCGTCTCCCGATTCCTCCAAGTCGCTTCCACTGCCACTATAGCTCTCAAAGCTGTAATCGATTTTCCTTCGTCTTCGCCTTCTCCGCCGATGCTTCATGACCTTCTTGAGTTGTTTTGCTTGGTTTAAATTGCTTTCCACTTTCCTCCCTTGAAATGAGTTTTCATGTTTTGAAAAACCGTTATGCGAGAGCGCAGCATTCGTTGGACCATTTACCACAGGGTGTTCCGTGTTGGAGTGTTCTTTTGCTAAGAAGTTTTCAAACGATGAAATACAGTTTTGCAGAAGAAGAGAGAGAAACGCTAGGGTGAAGGCTGTTGCTACCGACGAATCCTGAGAACCTAGGAAAAATTGAAGGGGACATTTGTTCACTACTCATTCAACATCTTACAACACAGACTGACCGAAAGTATAAAACGTTTTCAACGTTGTTACAATAATATGTTGCATTGAAATGCGTGTGTTTTGCCGCGGTTTTACAGTACATCTGGAGAACTCAAAATACATACAAGACAGGTCGCCACTACCAACTCATTTCGCAAACAACTGCCACATAAACTAAAACAAAAACATGTTTTACAGATCTTATCACTTTAATTTCGGAGAAAGCATAACATTTGTGACCATTGAATTAAATCGGATTTACCAAACAGCCGATCCGGTTTTTTGCGGTTGGACGTTCACCACATTTACAGTTATACGAAACCTTAGGCACGATTTTAACTGTAAATAAAAAAAAAAATTGGAACTAGGATTTCAAATTTGAAAATGCGAAGCTTGTGGCTTTAAATTTATTTTTCTAACTCTCTGGTCTTGAACCGTTATACGCTCTTGTTGAAGAGTCAAAAAGGTGAAATAAAGAGTGTTGCAGTTTCATTTCCAAACACCATTCCACATTCCCAAACAGCATGAAGAAAGTTCAAAAAGCGACTCGCATCGGAGTATTCTAGAAGAATTTCGAGGTGTTTGAAAATGTGGTAAAGCACGGTCTTGCGTGTTTGATATAACTAAAAACCAACGGGAGAAAACGGAGGTAAAATTATAAAGAAATATATAATGCTGATTAAAGTCAGATATTCCAACACCGTCACATTCATGATTTCCTAAGTTTAGATTTGATTAATTATTACCGAGTTGGAGATAAACACTTCACACGACATACTTCTAACAAAACACAGACAAACTACTACCCTACCCTTTGACTGCAATCTGGTCACAGTGGCAATTGCCATGACAACAAGTTTCACCATAAGCGAGCTGCTAATGACGGCATCCTCGTCATCTGTGACGTCATGCTCCAGGCCGCCATTTTCCTGAGAGGCGACGCCATTTTCAAGTGATGGCTTGCTTGTGTTGGAGGAGGCTGGGTCTACAGACAAAACACTGCTGAAGTCCTGTAACACAGACTGACACAGATGCCCCGTGTCTTCACTGCTTATTTCAGGTGAGCTAAGGAATAAATTCACACAAAAATCTTCAGTTGGAAACAAAGACAGTATGCTCAATGTTAGCGACCCTTTCAGTCCCTTGATCAAAATCTAACTCTAAACCTCTTTACTAATTGCTAAAGGTTTCTTAAAAAGTTAGTTTTGAAAATTTGTAGCTGTAAATGAAGTCGCATCTCTTCACCAGAAACGTCACTAGAGAATCTGGCAGTATATGTACAACAGAGTAATAACCTCCTCTTGAAAATTAATACTTCTCTATTTTGCTAATACGTACTTCACCAAGAACACGCAATTAAGAGAAAATCTCTGGAAACATTTGAATATCATACCCAATTAAACTAATTTGACAACCATGCACCTAAACAAAACAAGTATGGTATCTATGTAGTCTATGCATTTAATCTACAAATAGACTAGGAGTGAAAGCTCCATTAACACACAGCCCCTGTAAGCAGGATGAACCGGGCACTTAGTCACAGTTTGTAGCCAGATAAAAACGCTACATTTTTCAGCTTTCCACAAGCAGACACCCTCTTCAGCAGAGAGAGTGCACTTTTCCATGGGAGATTAGGGTTTGCTATTCCCTGAGAGAAAGACACCTGAGAATGCTATCAATAACGCAGCAATGAAGAGGTTTGTGTAGGATTACTCTCTGTTAGGGTGTGTTCATTTAACCTTTTTCTGGAATATGAATAAACAGTCAGGTATCCGTTCATTCTGGAATACACTAAGTGTATTTCAAGCATTCTTCTCCAGGGAACAGAATACTTGGAATAATTCGTCACTTCACTTTGTATCATGAACAAAACAGACTGTTACATAAATTACTCTACTTCCAGATTTGGAAAGAGTACGAACAAGGTATTCTTTCTCCCCTGTTTCAACCAATCGTAAAAACAAGCAAGAATCAACAAGTTAGATTACTCCACAAGCGAAGTAATTGTTTTAATGAAGTAGGTAACGATTAGCTATTCTGGAATATTCTGGAACATAACTTTCATTTCCGGAATAAGGTCAATCAAACACATCGTTAAATCAACACATACAAAGTTTTATTCAGCTTAATTTTGCCTATCATGGGATGGAACAAGCCTGCCATGGTGACACAAGCTGTCTGTTTTCCTTGGTTGGCCAGCATTCAGATCATCACAAAGATAGTACTTTAAAACACAGGAGAAAAAGAAAACAACAACCAAGGAATCTAATTATCACTCACTTCTCATGTTGATACAGAACATCTTGGAGGTACAGGAAATAAACAAGAAATCTCTTCAATCTGGTTAGAATGACAAGAAAGAGACCTTGTTAAACCACATAACAAACAAGTTACTGATAGAGCTTAATGTTGCAACTGCTTGGGTTGCCAGTGGGACCAAACTTTTTTACTGGCAATTAACTTTCCATGCTTTTCACCGATTGAAATATGTTTGCTAGCCACTAAATCTGAAAACTTAGAGGTCGGCTGGCCCCAAGGTTTTTTCCTGAAAGTTGAGCCCTGACTGAGTTAATTGATTTAACAACAATCGAGACTTGTCTTGTTCAAATAAAAGGTGCAACATCCAGCAGGAACATAAACAGTCTTCACTTCTCAACACACCTTTCTTTTGGTCTAGGCTCATCCAGAGGTAACTCCTTAATCCTGTGTAGAATAGACCTGTTCTTTTCAAAAATTCTCAACAAGTTTCCTTCGGCTCCTTCAAACACCTCCTTTGACAATAAACTGCAGAGTTCAAACAACAGTGCACCATTGTTGGATACAAAATGCCATAGAGAAACTATACAATACAACAATACCATACATCAGACAATACTTAAAACAAAATACAAGATTGATCAGACCTCGTACTTTCACATTTCACTTTCACATTTCACATTATTACATGATTTTACCTGCGGCCCACCCCTGACCACATACATGTACCCATCTCAACTTTTTAATGTTGTCCCTTTTATATGCAAAGTCACTAGAAAGCCAACTGAACATTGAAATGTGGAGAGGGGAGGAAAGGCCAAATTCTGATTTTTAAATTACACCTTTGCAAATACATCAAGTTCAATTTGCATGATTTTGTTTTGCATGGTACTATCGTTAAAACACTTGTCATCATCACTAAAAGTCTTACCATCTCAAATAAAAATATGCTCCCTCACAACCATAAGCCTTTGTACCGGCAAGTGTTCCAAGTTGGTTTTGAGGCATACCTGTTAAAACCCAAAGGATACCAAGAGTTTGAGTGCACCATGCATGTAATGTAATTGAAATGAAGGTGGAGAGCACAACACATCATAATTTTCCACTGGAGAGTACTGTCAAAACAGTGTGTCCCATTTACAGTATGTATGTTGTAACTGAAATTTCCTGTTATTATTTAAGAACATGAAAACATTTTCTGTGTGAACATGGAAGTTTGGGAGGATAAGAAGCACAAACTCAACTGGCAAGTAATTATTTCCATGGTGTTAACTTGAGTTCTAAAATATTTTCACAAGAGTTTCAATCTATTTCACAAGAGTTCAAGATTTCTATGGCATGATAGTTGATGAGGGTGCAGCCACCAGAGTTGACTATCTCGCATAGAAACTGAGAGGGAATAATCTAATAGTTTTAGTATAAATCTACTAGTCGTTCAAAACCTTATCTAAATCTTCTTCACAGACACTTCAAAAACACAAAGGAGCAGCCGCCAGTTTGTTAACAACACTACACTGCTAAGTTACTCCACTACCTACAACAGGATAGTTAGTAGCGCAGCCAATCAGAGAACAGCATTTGTGATAGAACGCTAGTAGTTTTATACTAAAGCTTGATACAAACATGGAAAATGTTTTCTATTTCTTTTAGAAATCATTGCAGGAAAGAGTAAAGGAAGTTAAAGTTTCTTTTGATTGTCAAAATATCAATTTTCTATGTTTGCCCCATCATTACGTTAACAGCTTTTGTGTGCTTAGTGTATGCTTCCATATTGGGTGCATCCTAATGGCAAACAAACAAAAGTCCCCCTGCTAAGTATAGAGAATAACATTTACCTATGTCAGGGTTGATAAGAGCGGCTTCAAAGTAAAACCTTTCGGCCAATTTAATGGCTTCTTTCCCTTCAAGGTCAGATTGATATCGAGCTGTTACAAAACACAAATAGACACGATCAGATTAAAGAGAAATCAGCACATAACATTTAAAACAAATTATGAGGAAATTTTTAAAGCACTCTCTTACCAATGTCTCCTAAAAATATAAGACACCGCTGACATGCTTTTATTGCCCAAGATCTAATTTCATCATCATCATCTTCCCCTGTAAGACAACACACCCACAAAAAAGTGATTAGATTTTATTGGTATTTTTAATATTGCTTTATGCAGACATGCAGTTTTGAGTCCTGGAATCCTATAAGAAAGTAACCAAAAGAAGGTCAAGAGCAAAATAGTTTTTGTTTACTTTTACTTCCATGTAAAAATGATGCACATGGTGCAAAACCTGTCATTAGAAAACATGTTCATTTTCTTGTAAATTCAACTTCATCTCATTTGAAATGTATATAAATTATACAAATTTCATATACAGTATAAATTATACATGTATGTATATTTTATATCAAGCCTAAAAGGTATGTAAAGGCAATGCAGAAATGGCTCACTCACTCAATGAAATTGTAATATTTAAAGAAAGAAACAATTTAAAGTCAAGGAGAAAACTTGCACAGCTGAGGGAATTTTTGGCATATACTCTAGCTACATGTAGCTTGTTTGCCCTTTGGGCATGCAACCATGATGTTAACTAGCACCAAATTTCAAAATTTCATCTCTTGCAGTACTTCTGTAGCTTGAATTTCCTCAAAACATTGCCAAGGAATGGGAGCATTGGGAGAGTGAAGGACAGAATCCACAAGCCCAGCTGCAAACACCACTACCCCTGGGCTATCAGATACAACCTTCTAAGTTGCGTGTTGAACATGTAGACAACGTTGTATCCAAATTCTTCTGAATGCAATATACACATGTAGAAATTGTTAATGAGAGAGTTTATTATTCTTTCACACTTTCACAATGTTTCTATAACTCCTATGAGCACAAAAAATGTTTTCCATTTCTGAACAGTAATTCAATTAACCAAGGGTAAAATTTTAAAAAATTCTACACATTGCTGACAACAACAGTTTGTTACTTGTTACCTGGTTGAGTGGAAGGAAATCCCCAGGACAACACACCATCCACAGTGAGCTTATAAGAGAGCTGAAGGTGTGTTAAGAGATGGTAATAATATCCAGCTGCAGAGGACAGATGGGTACGAAGAACTCCATCCAGAGATTGAGTATCAGCCTCCATGATCTAGGGACAACAAAAGAAAAACATGAAAACCTACAAGCTGTACTGCCTTAAGGTGGCTGAACACAGTTTTCATGCACGCTTTTGCTGATGCAATTCAGCGCACGCACAAGGATTGCAAAAAACAAATATGCCATCAATAGAGCGATCATTTTATTTACCAAATGCCCAGGCCATCTGTACTATTTTTCTCTATAATTGAACGCAGTGTATTGATGGCTTTAGTCTTTTATCACAAAGATATGTTAGAAAAGGTAACGATGCAAAGAACCCAGCAATTCTCAGCTTTTACTTTGTTACCGAAAGAACCCAGTTAAATGCAGCGCATGCGTAGTAAGTCAAGAAATTGTGATTGAATGAAAATTGCACTCTCAGAAATACACCTATTTCTTGAGAACCACGCATCAGAATTTCACGAAATTTGGCACGAAAATACTTTAGGAGTATTGAAAATAACTGAACTTTAACAAAGGAAATTCTAGATATTCCAGGGAACCTTCAACAAGGGATAATTAAACATCTCTCTGTTAAATTATTAGCAAAATGGTGTTAACTTGTGAGAATCGTTACAAGCTTGTTGCATGCAAATCATAAATAAAATCTAATGACTAGATTTTCTACAAATAAACAAAACCGATTTTAAAGGCCTGTTTATATTCATTCATGTTGCCATGGCAACGGTACATACGTTAGCTTAACCATCAAAAAACCAAAGTTTGTGTTGTTAACTTGCTTGCTGCCATTTTTGGCGACCAAGGAATCAAGGGTTTTAGAGAAAAAGGTGAATGAAACACAGGTATCAAAAACTGTGTTCAGCCACCTTAAGTCCCAGGATTAAACTGTAAACTCTTATTACATACTGTCACAAGTCTCTTCTAAAGTCCTTGTAGCAGCGAGAATTTGAAGGGCGCAGTGGTCTAAGACTTAAAAATTAAGACTTTCATTGCCGGAGCCCAGATATTACCCTTATTTATTACCGTACTCTCACCCATGGTATAGTGATCAACCCCGCACGTTCTGCAACCTGTTAACATGACCACCTCTCTACTAAAGTTGTGTTCAGTAGCAATACGTATGTACAATCTAGATCCACATGTACATTACATATGTTTATGTCTGAAAACAAACTTTTACATTCATTAAGGCCTTTTCTCTATATAAACAATCACAGTGACTGTAAATTAAGTATACTTTGTATATGCCCACCAGAGCAGATGACAAAGTAATCAGACTTAACTCCCTCTTTTTATGTATTCCCATGTGGACAGCATGTAAACTTGGGACCACTGATGTCATACACGTGTTCAATGCAGTTGTTTTTTTAGAGTTAGTCTCATTCCCAGGCATCTTTCTTTTATTCTGGACAATCCGTCAAAGATCTCTGGTCTCACAGTCATGTGCAAGCTGGTGCATATATTGTGCACCAAGGTAGTACTGACAACTACCACAATATGACTACGTTGTTATGGCTAATTTGTAGTAACATGGTTCCACCACACTTTCCTCTTATGGTGCCTTCTTAATCCAAAGAGTGGATAATGCTATCCACTGGATAAATTACTTGAACAGTAGATGGTATAGTTTGTTTTGTCATCACTTATCACTAGTTATCATTACTGATTATCTAGTGGATAGCATTATGCAAACTTTGACACCTGAGGCCATGCACATAACTGTAAGTTACCTTTCTGTGATTCCGCAGCTTTTGAATGACATCATAAAAGACTTTTCTCCAAAGCCGCTCTTCAGCCCTACGACCATATTCCTTCGGATGGTGAAGAATTAAGTTCTCACATTGGTTTCTCAACCTGGCAATGAAGGTAAATTGACTACTGTTACTATGAACTGCTATTTTTTTTTTCTCCAGGAAAAACTACAAAAATATAGTAAGTACTGGCCAGCCAGGACGATAAGGATGAGTGAGTGAGTGAGTGAGTGAGTGAGTGAGTGAGTGCGTGCGTGCGTGCGTGCGTGAGTGAGTGAGTGAGTGAGTGAGTACTAATCAAAAGCATTGAAGATGATTGAGTAGCTCATTATATTGAGACTGAGGGCATGATCACTGATTTCTTTTTACTTTTATAATAACTTTTTTTTATATATATTGGTTAATTTAATTGTTTAATTGTCAAGGGTAGAACAACTCTTGTCCATAGATGCGTGCAAATTATTGAAGATCAACAAACAATTTTACGATAAGTGTCTAATTTCTCGCACGCGGATTGGCTCACTTTTATCATCAATGAGACTTCAGACAGATAAAATTTTAATTTGTGCAAGTTTTCAAGTTCAACTTTCAGCTGTCAAACTGTCAACTTTTTAACCAATGAGATTCTATGGACTTTTTTAAGTAGCCAATCAAAAAGTGAGAAAAGCTATCGACAATGTTTGCGTCATTTGAATAAAATTCACTAATCTTTGTTTATGGCAAGTTTATGGCATCTTTTCCCCTCATTTATTCCCGGCATTTGACCATTTTGGGGTCTTATTATTGTAAAAACAAATTGACGTCAGTTTTTTATGCATCTGTCCTCTTCAAATGATAAATTTCATCATAACATTGTCAAAGTTCACTGCAGAACCATTCGCTTGAGGCTTGTGGTTCCACAGCCACTTTGACAATGTTATGGCCCAATTTATCATCAATAAGAAGACAGACGCATAAAAAAAACTGACGTCAATTTGTTAATTTACATTGAACGCAAAATTTTTGAAAATCAACTACCCAGAGGCTTCAAAAGATTGCAGGATTGACCCCAAGCTAACAGAACTCAAAGCTGCAAACTATAGTGACGAAATCCAAACGTCTAAATAGTTTGGCTATTATCCAACAACAATATTTCAACAATACTTCCACCCCTGTCATCGGTACAAAAAGACATTTCACAAACAGCATAATAAGAAAATAAATGTACCTCTGTCTAAGCAGTACAGCATCTGGGTGGAAAAGTTCCTGCCACTCAACAACAGACCTCAGCTGAATGTCAAGTCTGTTGGCCAGCTGCATAGAAGACCTACAACAACAATGTTATCATAATGATAAAAAGGCTTCACGGACAAATATGCAAAAACAAGATATAAAGTCTGGTGTACTTAGACATGTGCTTAAACTACAGTGGGTGAATACATATTATTAAGGTTGATGTACACACTACAATTTGTCAACCTATTTTGTTCCAAATTTAGTTTTCCCATTGAATATGAATAGCTTCTTTTAAGATATTCATATTCAATGGGAAAAACCTACACTAAATCATCAACTTTATCATGTTAATTCAAAACTTTCTTTGTAATATTTTACATTGTCATGTTTCCTTTTGTTCTTACAGTCAATTAGCATTTTGTGTACACTATGTATTCAACTCTGTACTTTGTAATTTAAACTGAAGATGACAGAAGATTCTGTTGAAACATGTTTTTAAAAAACATTGTTTTGTTTCTAGAAAATCAAAATATTACGCCATCCAAAAAATCAAGCCTAGGTGGTCGCTTACAGGAGGTGGTTGCTTACATGAGCTTAGGCCATATTGGGTCAAAATATTGCCTTATTTGCACATGATAAATGCAGAGACCTTACGCCATGCACCAATGCCCCTCTAAACTTATGTAATAGATTTTAGTAGCCACAACAATATACTTGAATTTTGAGAAAAAATCGAGTACTTCCCACTGAGAAATTTCCACTTCTTGTTGTAATACCTAGGAATGCGATAATGTTACAACACCTTATAATCCAATTTCCGCTCTATTATCTGTCAGGTGGTCACTTATGGGAGGTTAAAAACAAAAGAAAATTTCAAACTTTGAGTTCTAAAGGTGATCATGGTCACTTGCGAGAAGTTGTCGCTTACAAGAGGTTCCAAATATAGTGTTGTTGGCACAGTTTCTATGGGTCTGAGTAAAGCTTTTGATGATACCACACAACCTACTCCTTGCCAAGCTGGCTGCCCACGGTGTTGCTCCAGAGAGCCTGCCCCTCCTACACAGTTACCTTAAAGACAGGTCCCAGTGTGTCAGGATAGAAGACGTAATCTTGTTGTTTTTTCTAAGGGTGTACCTCAGGGATTGGTTTTAGGACCCCTCCTTTTTAAATATTTTTCTGAAAAATCTGTTCTATTTTACTAATTGTGCTAATTTGTCCAACTACGCAGACGATAACCAAATTTATTTCAGTGATCGCGATCCTGAGGTGGTAAAGTCTGTAATCAATCGCGATCTCACTGTTGCAAAATGTTGGTTTGACGATAATAAGCTAGTGCTCAATCCCGAGAAATGTAAATGTATTATTCTTCCAAAAACCTATCCTTGCGATCTTTCCTTTAGCATTAGTGATGTGCAGGTTCCTGTCGTAGACCATTTAAAACTTTTAGGCGTAACTAATGATAACTTGCTAAATTTTAGCAAACACACTGGCAAGATTATTAAGAAAGTTGGAAATCAGTTAGATGTTTTGAGCAGGCTAAAGAACATGCTATCAATCTCTTCGAAGATGTGCCTTTACAACTCATTTGTAATGTCTTATTTTACTTACTGTTCTGTGATTTGGCATAATTGTTACGAGTCTGACAAGCAGAGGCTCTTAAGGTGTGTCTACAACAAATGGATGACCCCCCATGGTGATGATGACTACAGCTTAACTTTATCCAATCATCGCCTACAGGACATTGCCATATTAATTTTTAAAGCTGTAAACGGTATGTTACCGGGATATATAAGTGACTTGTTTGTCGTACGTAATAATGTGAAGTGCTTGAGAGCCACCAACAAGCTCATAGTCCCACGTAAGAAAACTGCAAACTTTGGCTTATTTTTATTGGTGCCAAAGTGTGGAATTCTTTACCGGATGAATTACGTTCAATGACAATCCTTAAGGAATTTATGAATACTGTAAGAGAGCTAAAATTGTGATGTACAGTTTTCTATGATTCACTGTAATAACTTTAAGATTTAGGACTGTTTATTGTTTATTTATTGATATAGTTAGAATGTTAGTCATTAATTGATCATGTATTTTTTTTTTTTGATACTTTTTATATATTTTTCTCGTCATATTAGCATGACTGTATCACTAGGGGCCTAATCAGCCTCATCAACGCGAGTTGAAATTAAGTTAAATACTTACTTACTTTACTTATTTGGCCTGGAAACTTTTGGTATTTTGGAAAACTGGTCGCTTAGGAGAGGTGTTCGTTTACAGGAGGTGGGTGGTCACAACCAGAGGTTGGACTGTATTATTCACTAATTTAAATGTTAGCCAAACTGAGAAAAATTTGGCATCAACCGTACAATATTTCAAAGATTTCACTTTCTACTCTCCAAAGTAAACAGTTTNCCAAAAAAAAAAGATTCCTGAAGAATGGCAAGATTCCAAGCTTACATGTGTATGTGGCTACCTCCCCAAGAGAAAGAATTCTCTTCCTATCACACTTGGGAAAACAAAGGAGCAGTTAAAAACTATAGCATCTCTCTTGCTGGAGAAGAAAATTCTGTAATAATTTATTGGCTATGCATAATATACTTATCCCTAATCAAGTTGTAAAATATGATTTCAAGGTGAAGCTTTTTCAAAATAGCAATGCAAATATCAACTCCACGGAAATTTAACTTAGTATAAAGTAAATAACTTAACCTCAAGCTTATAATTGGTGAGCGAGTGACAGGCTGATTTTTAAGATGAAGACGTTTTTTAATAGCACGAGAAAGTAAAATATTTCGAAAAAAATAAATAAATCGTTACTCAATAAATAAACGTAATTCCCCAAAAATATCCGTTATTTTTAAACTGTCGCTAGCCCGATCACGCAAGAAGCGTGGGATAACTTCTGAGCGAGCACTAATGATGAATTTCAATATTTTTGTCAGATTTATGCAAGGCTGAATCGCGATTATTCTTGAAAAAAATACTTTTGTTTGCAAGTTGTACGTTCCTATTCAACTCGTAGTAACTTGAATAACCTTGGAAGAGTTTGATAAAGTCAAAATAAGAAACCTTGCCGTTATAAAACCGCATTTTTGTTAGCGTTTAATTAAGCAGAAGATTCGCTACAATACAAACTAAACATCGAAATCCTCACCTGTTAAGTCTGCTTCCCTCTTTTCCTTGGACATTTGCATTGTTATCCTCTGCCACCAAAGCTTTCTTCATCCTCAGTTAAGATAGGCATTGGTACTACTCCTTTGACGGAGCAATCATGGCCAAATCATTACACAATTCTTCAAGAAAATACAGAACTATCTCCTTCAGTACCGACATCTTTGCTTCCTGTCGAGTTTCGAAACCCGGGGAAACTGGGCATCACCCACACTGCAATTCGAGTTACCAAAAATCCAAGATGGCGAACAAGCGCATGGTGTACGTTGGTGGATTAGCAGAAGAAGTTGACGAAAAAGTCCTTCATGCTGCATTTATTCCGTTCGGAGACATAACAGATGTTCAGATACCAATGGACTACTCAAGTCAGAAGCATAGAGGGTTTGGATTTGTGGAATTTGAGCTCGCAGAAGACGCGGCAGCCGCCATTGATAACATGAACGAGTCTGAGCTCTTTGGCCGTACAATTAGAGTAAACATAGCCAAACCAATGAAGATCAAAGAAGGCTACAGTCGTGCAGTGTGGAGCGAAGATAGCTGGCTAAGTAAACACGCAGGGCAGACTTTGGAAGACGCTGACATGAAAAATGCGGAGGAAAAAGCAAAGGAAACCAGCGAGGAAGGAATGGCAAAGAAAAAAGGAAATCCACGAGTTTTCTTTGATTTAACCATTGGGGGACGCCAGGCAGGAAGAATAACTATAGAACTAAGGCACGATGTCGTTCCTATGACTGTAGAGAACTTTCGCTCTCTTTGCACCCACGAGAAAGGTTTTGGTTACCGGGGAAGTATTTTCCACCGTGTGATACCGCAATTCATGTTACAGGGAGGGGATTTTACAAAGCACGATGGCACGGGAGGAAAGTCAATATATGGTCAAAAATTTGCGGACGAAAACTTTGTGCTCAAACACACTGGAGCTGGTGTGCTATCCATGGCAAACTCCGGGCCGAACACTAATGGTTCCCAATTTTTTATCACCACTGAAAAAACTGACTGGTTGGATGGAAAGCATGTTGTGTTTGGTCATGTTATTGATGGAATGGATGTTGTGAGGAAGGTGGAAGCAACTGGCTCACAAAGTGGTAAAACAAGCAAAAAAATTGTGATTGAAGATTGCGGCGAGTTGTAACAGAATCAAGTACACTTTTAGGAAAACCTCTTTTGTTCTAATGTATACTTACATGTATTTGTGAGTACAGCCTAGTTAAAATGTGGAAGTTACTGGAAGATACAGCTAAAGGCATATCCAAACACAGACATATGGATAAACTTGTGATGTCACAAAAAATGTTCGGTGTGTAGCCAGGCATGTTAAAAATTGGTAAAAAGGAATTAAATGGTTGTCACTGGCTAAAAATATGGTTATCGGACGTTTCGGCCACTACTGTTGCCTTCTTCAGCAAAAGATGGAAAATGCAAATCCATCCATCTTTTGCTGAAGAAGGCAACAGTAGTGGCCGAAACATCCGATAACCATATTTTTAGCCAGTGACAACCATTTAATTCCTCTTTACCAATTTTTGTGATGTCACATATGGCATGAATTAATTTGAGGAAGGATGCCATGTTCCCTTATAGAAAGACCTCTCAGAGGTGAAAATTGAACCATCCATGTTCCTCATTAGGGAGCCTGTTGACATGCCTGATGTAGCATGTGTCACATCTGAACTGGAAGAGGTCACCTAAGCAGGGGTGGTGCAGTGATGAGGGCATGAATCTCCCACCAGTGTTGCTTGGGTTTGATTCCTGGACCTCGTGTTATAAGTGGGTTTCGTTGTTAATTCTCATCCTTGCCCTGAGGGCTCTGGTTTCTCTAGTTACATGTACCATCCCTCCAAAAAACCAACACTTCAAATTTCAAATAAATGTAGAGTGTTTCCCCAATTAATAGTAAGTCTTGTAGGCTAGCAAGAAGCTTGACACTAATAAAGTTGTTCATTTTTTCTGTTCACTAACTGACCTAACACCGGAGTGCTTTAGTTAAAATGTGACACATGCTATAGTCTTAGTATCAAGGAATGGTTGTAATGTATCAAGAAAGTCCTGTCCAGTAGCCTGAGGCTAGTGGAAGTTTCTGTCTAGCAGGTAGATTTTAACCATCTTTTGCTCAGTTTTAAGACTCTGAATCAAAGTTCACATTTAAAGTAAGGCTAGTGAGAAAACCATTCAGGCTAGCACACATTAATTCCAACTTGTCTGAATGGCAACCTAGTTCAGTTCTGGCCCTCTCTCTGTAACATCCTATGCTCTGATCTGCTCTGATTGGTTTAGCAGGAGCATACACAGACAATTGTCCCTGGATCCTCTCTCCCTAGCATTGTGTGACAGAGACAGGGCCAGAACTGGACTAAATGGCAACCTGGAACATCTATTTCTTGCACACTAAACACACACAGTCATGGTTTTTCTAACAAAATATTGGTAATTATTTGGGACATCAGAAACTGAAGAACAAAATCATTCATAAGGAAAATAAAAACCTACCTCTGACATGTGAATCAAATACAAGTGCAAGCAATGTTCAGGCTTTTGTTGTTCAAAGAATGGACAGTGCTACTCACTGGATAAATTACAGTCCAGTGAATAATTTAATAAAACAAACTACCATATGTCATAATTTGACATTCATCCAGTGGAGAGCATAATATTGCCACCTTCTGAACAATCAGGCCTTAGTATATTTACATACATTGTAGGTGTACTTTTCCATTGTTTTTTTGCAAAGAGCAGTTTACATAGTGCACCTAAATATACCCTTGAGGCTTAAATACATGTAGCAGCTTGTTTCAAGTTGGCCAATAAGACAAAATTTGCTTGTGTTCAACTACTAGCAATAACAAACAAACATTCTGCATAATGTATAAATTCAAACCTATTGAAGACAAGCATTGTTTTTAAAAAAAATTTTTTTTAATGAGGGTACATTTGGGTGCTGTTCCTAAAGAGCTTGTATACTACTAAACAATTAGATTATGAGCTCGAGATTTCTGTCGCGTGATAGTTGATGAGGGCGCAGTCCGAGTCAACTATCACACGATAGAAATCAAGCGCGAATAATCTAATAATTTTTTGTTTCAGTATAAATCTACTAGTTGTTCAAAACTTTACCTAAATCCTCTTCACAGACACTTCGAAAATGCCAAGAAGTGGCCGTCATTTTGTTAACAAGGGCACACTGCTATGCTACTCGCTATCTATCACAGAATAGATAGTGAGTAGCGTAGCCAATCAGAGAACAGCATTCATGATAGAATRCTAGTAGATTTATACTAATCACATTTAGACCTGCATGGGTGCACCTCAAAAGTTGGCATTGCTGGTATCAACTGGCTACCACACAATCATTACTATGGGGCCAGCTCTGTGAGCAAGCAAGATCAACCAAATCATGTATTCTCTATTTTCCAATTGCCCATAATGCACTCTGTTTGCCCCCCAAATTTTGCATAAACTATTGTTGTGAAATACTCTTGGGAGGTCTGCATATTCCCAAGAACATTTCACAACAGTAGTTTATGCAAAATTTGGGGGGCAAACAGAGTGCATTATGGGCAATTGGAAAATAGAGAATTGTGATTGGCTACCTGGGCAGGCAAGATGGGACTTTCTGGGCTTCTCAGGATTGCTCACTGTATCGCACAATAAGATGGTGTCCTGCAGGGGATGCATTAAATCCTTTATTGACAAAGCTTGTTTGTCAAGATGGCTGTATTTTGGTCTCAGTCTTTTTTGTATGTTGATGGACCTTGACTGCTTCTCAGTCCATAAACACCTAAAAAATATCAACTATATACATTACCCAGCAATTTTGACCTCACACTTAGTCAGTTCCCATTTCCCATATACATTTTGCAAACTCATAGAAATGCTTCTTCAGTATGGAGTGGGCCTTGAGAGCAGGCAAAAAAAAAAGCCTGCACAGGGAGCTTCGGTTTCGGGTGGGTGCAGCGAGCTAATATTAGGGAGCTTAAGCAACGACGACTGCAACACTTAGGACAACGTCTAGTTAAAAAGAAATATAGATTTTACCAGCGAAATTCCCAATTATCTAGATCTCTTGAGAACGCCAATTGCTCTAAAAACGTGCTTAGGCTAAACATGCAATGAAAGCGTTCAATAGAATCCTAAAGTGATGACGTCACAAAAATAAAAGTTTTGAAATTATGGGATATGATGTCATATTCTTATAGAGGATCCTAAAAGATGCCCTCATCGCAAAAATTAGCTCTGAATTGCAATTCCCGATAGAGATATAAGGGATCAAAGTTTGATAGCATCCCATACAAACCCTTCAAAACTTGTTTCAGTTCCTTCAGTTTAGAACTGACTCAAAATTAGAGAGATTTATATGGGGCAGTACCAAATTTTTATCCTTTATATTTCGGCTGGGAATTACAATTAAGAGGTAATTCTTGGCAAAGACCCTTTTTTAAGGACGCTCTATTCGAAAATGGCGCCAAATCCCATAATTTCTCAAATTTATTTTTTGTGACGTCACACTTTAGGACTCTAAGGCCATTTTACAGTTGTGTGCTTAGTTACCTGGCCTATGACTGCAAGCGAGGCTGGAGGTGACCTTGATTTGATACAGACCCCTCTGCTTTTCTCATGTAAATGCCAACTAGTTAACATAAGAACAACTTGATTTCTACAACAAAAACAGTGAGGTCTTTATCAAAACAAGGTCACTTCCAGCGAAGAAAATGTACAAAGATTTATAACGCACGTGCACAGCTATTGTTTTACTCATTAAATCTTTTGTTTGGTGACGTTCTCGCTGCGGTCGTCGTTATGGTTAGCTGAACAAGATGTCAAACCCTCTGAATAAAGGCTTTGATTCTTTGGGAAGAAAAAACTTTAGGATAATGGAGTTGTTATTGGCAGATAGAATGGTAAAAGTCAGAAACATGTATGGCTTGCAGGAACGAAATTCTAATGCGGTGCAATATCACATGTAACCGTGAAGTAAAGCAGAAATTATAAATCCAATCAGAAAGTAAGACCATTCTCCCCTACCCTTACTTGCCTAGACTTTCACCCAAAAACCTTTCTATTCGCGAAACCTCATTCGGGGGGTCCCACTTCAGCTTAAGTTTTTGTCCAAACTGGAGATCCAGTATCCCGTTAATTCCAATTGCAAAAATTAACGATTTTCCTTCTCAATATCGCGTTCAATCTAATCTAAAATGGATATATAAATTCAAAGGAAAATATATCGATAATGTAGAAAAATGTCAAAGAATCGTCTTGTGAAAAATCACAAATGTTTCGTGCAAAGCGCTTCTTCAGTGAAGGAGGGCTCTGCCCAAAACGCTTGTGATTTTTCACAAGACGACCCCTTGACATTTTTGTTCATTATCAGTTTTCAATTTTTTGTTCTGAACTTTTATGCGGGATATTACGGTGGTTTATACCTTAAAAATAGTTTTTTTGTAAAACAATTCTGCGGGACAATTTTGGTACCATGATAAAGGACTTCACAGTGTGACTTCAAAAATGAACGTTTCCAGGTCACATGCCGCAATAGTTAAGAAAATAGAAAAAAAGCAATTGCCGATGAAAAGTCAAATAGTTCAACTTGTCATTTCTGAATGAAACAAAAAAACACTTTTTTGCGTCAATTTCAGGTAGACCCCCGCCTTAATGAATAACTAGCTCCTACGTGCTAAAAAGTGGAGTTTATTGTACACACGATAATGAACAATGATGATGAATATTAATGGTTCAAGAAGCATGGAATTAAGTTCATCATGTCCATAAGCGAGTTGTCCAGGAGAAAAACCTCAGAAAACAATGTTTTGAGGGTTTTTTTCTCGTGAAAATGGGAAAAAGTTTTACTAGTGTTAACTATACTAACTGAATAACAGGGAAAGCATTTCATAAATTGAAAATTTTATTGATTTGGATGTCGTTTACCAATCTTGAAAATTTCACGACATTCGCTTGAAACCTAATGGAGATATTAGCGCAAAAGGCAGAGACAAAATTCATCCACTCTTGTCTATCATGTGCCTTTCTCTCGAAGATTCCCTAGGTGCAACTCATTTAGGGTGTTCAGTTCGGTTTCGACCATCCCCCTCTAAGTCCCCCCTAGTGGGGGAGGGGGTACTTCCTTATATGCCTACATAGGTATGTGCGGCCCCAAAGGGTATGGTTTTTCAGCCGTTTTGGTCATAGATAGGAAATCGATTTTAGCCATTTTGGTCATAAATAGGGTATGGTTTTTGCACTCTACTCTTGAATTGGGTATGTTTTATGTGTTATGTTGGGAAGCAACCTCGTTCCCAGGGTCTCTCATCTTCCCGAACGAGGTTGCTTGGAGTAACCCCCAGGGGGGGGGGGAGGGAGGGTCCACGCCGTTTCTACTACTTGTAGAAACTGCG